TTTTTTCAGACACGACGGAGACGACGTACAACAAGTTGCAAAATTCGAGTTGGACGAGGTCGAAAATGACGAAGACGATGACAGGTCGGCTGGGACGACATTGTTCGGCATAAAAACTTTTGTGGCATTGAACTGAGTTCGCAGGTTCGAAAGCTTTTTCGCAACTTGTTGCCTAATCAGCTGTTGCACTTGCTCTCTTGTGACTTCTGGATACTTTCTGAAGGCGACATATTCGCAATGTCATCACAGTTTATTGCCTACTTTCGTGCGCCGTTCTTTTTCTACATGCACATATATATACATATATATATGCAATTCCACAGTTAGGCATATGTGCTAATTATGTATATGTAATTATAATGTGACTACATATTTCCTAATTGTCCAGCTTGAGTTGGAGTGCGATAAAACTGAATATTTGTCAGCGTCAGCTTGCATAACAAATCCTTTTATTTTTCTGGACCATTGAACCCCACTCAGCCGAGGCTAAGACTTGAACATGAATACATATACATATGCCAGATTTCAGCAGCAGCCGCAACGACTATAAATTAAAATGGCTGAAGTTCGAAAAAGCTCGGAGAGCTTTGTCAGTCGCTGCTAATTGTGTGCGACTTCACCTTGAAAGCAAACACCCATACAGCTAAATAGAGAGAGAGAGCGAGAGCGTCACACACACACACACACATATATATCTATGTACCTATCTATATATGTGGTATGTATTGAATTATTATTACATACATGTATATAGGTAGGTAGGTACGAGCTTAATCTGTCTGTGCTTGTCATCGCGTCTAACTGGGAATTCGTACACTACGTGTATATATGTGAATATATATGTATGCATGCATATATAGGTGTGCAAGTATTTCCATGTGCATACAAACATATATATATATATATATATAAAATATGAGTATTACACACCTTTGTGGGCAATGCGTGACTTGGCTGAGTTATATCGTATCGCAAATTTTAGTTTGGTAGTTTGAAATTATAGTGTTAGCTATAAGAACTGCCTTAAGCACCATAAATTATCTTAATTACCGGTTGTTGCGAATGTTTTGACAATCCACGTTGTTTTCCGCGCTTAGCAATTGTGAAACTGGCATCGATAGCAATTCTAAAAATGTACGCAGAACATGCAATCTCAGTTCCCCTAAATACATATGTACTTTTCAACTCGTGCAGAACATATGGCTACTTATGCTACCTATCCACATATCTCAGCAAACAAGGTGCAGCAGGACAACATATTGACATATTATTATTTATGTTCAATTAATGAAAAGAGGTATTTTTAATGGGCTATAAAACATTGATACATAGTCATTGTTTGCTGAAGAAAACAACATCAAATTGATTTCAAGTTCAAATTGGTTGTGTTTCTATGACAAGTGTTCAAACAAATATGGCACGATTTTGCTGTTAAAGATCAATTTCTTTCTGCTTTTGTAACTGGATGCCTTTTTGCGTCGTTGTCATTTGGGCTTTAGTGGTAGCTGTAGTAGTACATGTTGCAGGTATTATTTCAGTAATTTAAATAGCAACCTCAATAAAATGACTTAATGCGTGCTTAAGCCTACTTATATATATATATATATATATATATGGGACATGTGTACATACCCTGGTTTTAAGCTCATTATATAATTGTAATCAAAACACGTGTCAGCGGCGTCTTCACTTTGATTCAATTCAAGTATCTCATTTTTGATTTCTTATTTTCAATCTATTTACTGTAGGCTGCAAATACATACATATGTATTTAAGTATTAAGTGTTAAGAGGAAGTGCAATTTGCTTGAGGCACGTGTTTCAACTTTGGTAAAATGCTTTCATTCCAACTACTTAAGTGATGCATATGTGAACTTTGCTGGGTCATAAGTCGGGTCAATTACACATGCATAGATAGTTAAATATATTTCCATGTGTCTAATGGAATCGTTTCATTTGTTTTTATAACATATATGCGGCACTTAAACACGCTCCAATTGCCTCCAATGAGGACAGGAGGACAATCTTAGCATATGCTACATGGGAATAAGCGTAATTAGATCGGCTTGAGCACAAAGGCCAAATCGAAAAAAGAAAACAGTGTGTCGAAATAGGTATGCTTATATATAATACGTATACGTGCGTATTTACTATTACACCAGCTGTAGCTAGTTGCTTAGAATGTTATATAACGAAGCAACAAGACTCATTTTAAACAGGCGCCACTCAATAACAGGCGCCACGAAAATGGCGATGTGTCTGGGCTCGGCTGGAGATGTTACTATCTACCACGTGGTCTCCACAGCAGTCAATGTGAGCATGAAGGGCCATGAAATAGGTTCATTAGTTGGGTAAGAGTACAAATGGTAGATATGTCGCCAAGACGGCGTTGACTTGTCAGCAATTTAACCATTCTATCACAACAAATTTGCAAAGACGAATTGGTACAAATTAAACATGTGTGTTCCACAACTAATAGTTTGTTTCAGGTAAGTAATTAATGTAACATCTCTTGACATTGTGAAAAACAAACAAAATTACTTGAGAGCAAATTAAAATATATTTGCTAAAAATTTAAATAAACTAAGAATATTATAAAGTAAATGTTATATTTAACAAATCTCAGATAGTCAGAATTCAATTTAAATATGCTTTCAATATAATGTTAATCTCTGATATTAATAAAAAACAAAATGAATTCTAAAACGATACTTGCACTAAGCTCTGTTCAAAATTACTAAAGGGTAATTCGAATGAAAGTTCCTTATTTGTTTTATAACAGTTGAGTCCATAGCTTTATCCAGGATATAAGCTTTTAAGAAGTGGAAGCTCAAGTTGCCTTAGCCAAGAAAATTGTTAGCTTTTGATAGCTTTAAAAGCTATAAATACATCAGTTATTGACTGCGAAAGCAATCTCAATGTATGTATGTATGAAAGTTGATGTATTTAATGCCGACTGACTTATTGGTTAGCAAAGTTCTATGTAGAATCTGAATGCTGAACCTGTCTCTTAAACATTAACAAAATAAAACGAAATAATTAATAAGTATTGCTATTTAATGAATATACTTTGATTCTTAAAGAGATAAACTGATTATATTGAGAATCATTTGCCATCAACTGCAAGTTAAATTTGCAATAAATTTACATTTTTCAGTCACACATATATCTCAATACTAACTGTATTTCAGCTTCAGCTGTATTCAGCTCTGATTTTTATTTAAATTAGCCAGAACTCTTGGCTATTTGAGCACCCGCCGTGTTCAACATCCCATGCAAAATGCCCATGGTGAGAGTCTATAGACAAACCCAAAAGCACGCGCACTTCATGAATGAAAGCAAAGCCTCTTCACTCTGAAGTGTTTTCGAGTACTCTCGTCTGTGCCCCGAAGGTGTGGGAGTCTATTTTTCAATTTCTCGCTCATTTCATGAATGAAAACTGGGCAAACTGGGCAGACCCTGATGTTCGAATGCTGTTAGCTACGCTGCCTTTAGCCAGCAACCCATGAGAGCTGGGAAATTCCGCTGGCTTGTTAAAAGATCATTAGCCGACACGTTGTTGCTGTGAGCAGAAAGAAAGAAATTCTATTGAAAATTGCCCATTCGGTCCATTCGACTCACTACCTGTGAGTTGAGTTGCAGTTGGCCAGGTGCACAGTCTGCACTTGTCTAGACAACCTGTCGCCGGGAAACTCGAAGGCGAGTGTCCTGCCGCGCAACGGTTGTGGTCTCAAGTGTTTATGACTAGAGTTTTGTAGTTTTTAGTTAATGTCTACTTTCTAAATGCTAACTAAATAATTATTATTTTGATTAACGAGAGCGAAAACCAGAAAACAATATATTTACAAAATGTGTGATTATAATTTGGAGTGATGAAGAAGAATGCAAAAAAACAAACACAGATTATCCAACTATAGCTTTTCAATCTAAAATAATATTACCAAACAGGATGCATAATTTTCTGTAAATTGACAATACATTTTGATATATAAGAATTTCTATACGCTATACTATGTAACTTAACAACTGTTTAGAGACTCCTATATATCATATACTATTCAATGATTTCGCAAAAAAGAAAATCGAAGCTAATGCGAAAGTAAAACACAACAGGAGTCGGACACCACCTACCTGAGCACTCGAATCTCAAGAGTTCGATCTTCAGCTCAAGTGGGCGCACACTTGAGAAACACTAAGGTAACTTTTTGTACACGTCACTGATGACTATCGTGCAATGGTCGAATACTACCTGAAACGAATTTTTCCAGAATAGTTCTGTGAATAGAGTTCGAAATTCCGTTTAAAGCCACCGACTGTGCCATTTTGCTTGCAACGGGCCCACAGGGGCGTAGGTGCAATTGCGTTTATTAGCACCGCACCCCTGGCCTCATTCATTTCGAGATGCATCACAATGGAAAGTAAAATACGTTTGCCGTATTCATTGAAGAATCGATGTCAATTGTCGACTTTGTCCACTGAATCAGCTGAATGAGTTTTGGCAAAGGCAGGTTTCTTTTTGCGCTCGATTCGTTTTGGCTGGTACTCTTCAGAAAGTAGCTAACGATAAGCATCTGAGTTGGCGGATTTTCTCAGACGTAGCCTCGCAAAACCGTTTTACAATTGCGCTCAATTTTGTAATTAGCTAGAGATTTTGAAAATGTGTCGTAAGAATTGAAATCGTGATGTTACAAAATTTCATTTGATTAATTGTGAGCGGAATGATATTGCAATTTTCTTTGGCATTATCTTTGTGGTTAGCACGGAAGACCACACAATTTGAACGATGAGCATGTCAGCCAGATAGACTTTGAAGCGGTAAAATCTTCACCAAACTACTAAAATGTTCTAAATGGCCATCATATATAGCTGACACGTTAGTATTTAAATTCGAAACGTATCCATTTCCTATGGCTTTATCAGCCTTTTAATACGCCTGTCGACTTAACGGCAAGACGAACTCAATTCTTGCTGATTTTATGCGAAAATATTTAGCCGTTGACATGTGTGCAAATGTAATCTGACAAATTTCCGGCACCGAGCAAACAATGCCGTAGCATCATTTTCTAGCCGATTGGATTAACAGCAACGCTTTATTTGTAACAAATTCAAACAATTTTCTCCAGCTCATGCGCATAGGTCAATGTCTGCCCAGCGATATCCTTGGCTGGCACTTTCTCCCTTTGCTTCGAGTGCAGCACAGCATAGTTGAAACTTCCATCCGCATCCAATGTCCATGTGCGTTTTGCGGCCAACGCGTTCATTTCCGTTCCCCCAGGTTTGAGACCCAAACGCAACGCAGCCTGCTTCTGGGACATCTTCTCATAGGATTTTTCCAAACAGGATGCTATCTCCTCACGAACGGTGCCCACCAGCATATCCATAAAATCTGCATACAACTCTGACGGCATAGACTTCTTGGCCTGCAATATTTTGTTGTAGCGTCCCTCCATGAAATAGTTTTCCAAGGCCAGAACCGGTGAAATGTAACGATTCTGCAGCAACAGGGCCGACGGCAGACGCTCGAGCTCAATGTGAAAATCCGCAATGCGATTGGTGGCCAGCATGTAGAGTAGATGCAGGCCCATAAATTTGTGCATCTGTGACGAGGACTCCAAAAACTTGTCGTAGTCGTAGTAGTACATCTTCAGCTGCGTCATGTATCGCTCATAGGAGGCGTTATCCTTCACCTTAATGCTATGCTCAATAGCTATTTCCAGAATATCCCTGGCCGTTTGCAGCTCCAGTTTTTGGTTGGGCTGCATAGGCCCTTGTCCATTTAGTCCTACAAAGCCAACTCGAACCATTTCCAATTTAAGTGAGTCCAACAGTTGCCCACAGCGTCCCAAATTGGGTGAGTTCTTCGTCCATTCGCTTTTCAGCTCTTTACAAAACTTCAACATGATCGCGAAAATGTTTGACTTATTTTTGGATCAACGATAAATTTTTATGAAATTCTTTTGTTGCTAGCCAGTTGTTCAAGCAAGCTCTGAATACTTTAAGATAGCTCAAAAGTAACCATTTCACAGGGCCTACTAAACCTATATTAACTCGAACGGAAAACTAAATATAGGACTGTCTTGGCATACTGAGTGATGACAGACATTCCCCCAACTTTGGTCTCCACATCGGATCCTGTAAAACTACAAGTTAAAAAAAAAACTAGTTTGTATTTCTATCAATTGGTCTTTATTTTAGGCTATTTAACATGAGTATATACAATTTAAAGACTATTTGACAATAAAACTAATAAAAACGTTTGTACAAATAACATTCAATTAACAATTGATTCTATGCGCTTATCTTTAATTCACAACATTTGGGCGATGGCGAAGTTTGTGGGCTGCTTGAGTTGGCTGATAGGTTAAATGTGGGACTCTCGGAGCCGCCCTTCTTTTGTTTGACGCGTCGATTCTGGAACCAAATCTTCACTTGCTTTTCCGAAAGTCGCAGCCGGTTGGCAATCTCGATTCTGCGCAGGCGCGACAAGTATGCATTGTGGGAGAACTCACGCTCCAGCTCCAATAGCTGAGTGCTGGTGAAGGCTGTGCGGATGCGTTTGCTGGAATCAGCATAGTCATTGATCAGTGGTGTAATCTCCAGACTAGCTCCCTGAGATTTAATGGGTGAACTGACGGGCGAGCAGGAGGACTCGTGTTTGAAGCGTTTCGTTTGCGGCTCTTCGGCATTGGCAAAATCCAATGAGGCACTCGATGATGCCGATGGTGAGGTACAGAAAGCTCCAGCCTCGTGCACAGGCAGACCACCAGTTAAGCCGTAGACAGCCGTCGGCGGCAGAGTCTGTTGTGTGTGGCTGCTGCCAGGTCCAATGGCATTGGCCGAGAGTGGTGGCGATGGATAGCAGTCATCATAGTTGCCAAAGCCACTCGACTTGCGCTTGTTGGATGCAAAGAACTGTGCATAAGGATGATAAAGTGATCCGTGGGGATGCTTAAGGACAGCGGCAGCCGCTGCTGCAGCCGCCGCTTGATGCTGTTGCTGTTGTTGTTGTTGTTGCTGCTGTTGTTGCTGTTGTTGTATACCGAGTGAGAATAGATAGCTGCCCACATAGCTAGCTGGATATGGTAACATTGGTATGCCCGGTAGCATTGCAGCTGCTGCAGCTGTGGCAGCCACGGCGGCGGCGGTAACATTGGCCGTGGGTGATCCAAGTGGTTCCTTGTTCTTCTTGAGCGGTGGCATATCGCTGAGCAGCGAGTCCATGAGGAAAGAACGCGACATTTCTGTTGGATTGAGTTGCTTGGGATTTTGTGTATGTATGCGTGGCGAACACCTCACACGATCGGAGTCTGAGCGTTACTGGTTAGCTGTTAGGGCTGTGCCATGCACTTTATATAGACACACCGGTGGTTAGGGGTTGTTTTTTGCACCACCCCTGGCATGCTCTGGCGGTGCGAGCGAGCTCGCATTTGCCTTTTGTGTTTTGAGGGTTGTTTGCTTATTTTCTTTGACCATTAAGCCACCATTTACAGCTTGTCTTCGTCTAATAACAGCAAACTGTAGCCATTTAAGCTCCGCCCTTGGCACAACGATCACTCACAATGGCAGGTCATTTGTTAAAGTGTGTGTGTGTGTATGTGACTGTGTGTGCGTGTGTGTGCGTGTGCGTGCATTTATATACTGAATATTCAGTTGACTAACTGCAATCTTAATAGTATTGCTGAGTTATTTTAAATAATTTCTTTGATTAAGCAAATTGTATTCGATGTTCATAAACCTGGTTTTTTAATATATTATTGAAAATACTTATTGAATTTTAGCTTAAGTATATTTATACTCTGACAGTTGTTTGACAAATACGGAATATAAACCCAAATCATAGAAAGTGGACTCTGATCAAATTTCAGATGCAAAAATCAGCTGACTAGCTGAAGTCTTAATAGCAAAGTCTGCTAAATTTAGTGCCGAAGTATTCTTGAAATAACTAATTTTTAAAATGCTTTTATCTCGTTTTCTAAATTATAAATACGTAAATAGCCAATCTAGAATAAGTCAGTCTTAATAGTTTTTACTGATCATTTTTAATGTTTTCATTGTTAAAAGATATAGTTAATAATATATAATTAAATAGCATATCTAGAAAAATATATATGCTAAAAGTATAACTGATCATTGATCTCCTAAAATACTTCAAATCGGCATTTGACTGCAAATTTCATGCTATCCAATGACACACGGCAATTTGTCCTTTAAAACGTATTGTGTAATTGTAATTGTGTGTTTGTGTGTGTGTGTGTGTGAGCACCTCAGTGTTGTTTTTATTGATGCATTATCTCCGTGTGTGTCTGCCAAATCGGTTAACAATGCCAACGACATACATCAACCTGGCCCATTCACGGTCGAGAGCCATTTTCATTCATTCATTCACGGCTCGGGTTTAGGCACACATTGCGTCTTTGTGTCCTCGCCAGACATTGCGTCGCCTTGGCGAGTGAGTTTTTGGGTTACATTACACAGAATTATGGCGGCAGTTCTATCATTTGTTAACTCGCTTTAAGGATTTTCTTTAATTGTCCTTTTCAAGTCATTGTCACCGTGTAATGCCAAGGTGTCTGCACGGGTGTTGCTTTGTGTGTGTGTGTTTTTGTGATATTTTATCATATGTTAAGTGGCTATAAAACTGCACAATTACTGACGTTAATTGTTGTCCAACTCTCAAACTACTTTTGGACGCATTGTTGACTGCAGTTGTTGCATACCTTGAGCGTCCCTTGCGATCAATCGCCTACTTTTTAGAGGCATTGTTGGCAATTTGGCTTCTGCTTAATTGGCATACTTTTCACATATCGTAATACCATGCAAAATGCGAATGCAACCCGGTGGCAGCTGCCATTTTTCCAGTTTTTGCATCAGTTTCCTTTCCTGCAACTAGATCATTGGGTAGGCGTTGCGTCGGTCTCGTGCGCTGGACTTGGTTCTGGCTTTTGTTATTGTTGTTTCTTCAAGGGCCACTTCAGTTTTTGTGCTACTCACCTTTGACCACATCCGTTGCTGTTTTTTCTTTATTTATTATTTTCTCCGTTTTTACACTCGATTTAACTGGGTATTGTTAATTCGATCGGTCTTCAAATGGATCGTGCTATTGACGCTGCCTGCTTTCCTTTAAATCAATACAACTTTTTGAATGCTTATCGACATTTTGTTTGAGCCACGTGTATGTTATAAATTCTACAATCAGTTGACAGTCAGTTCAGGAAAGCAAAAAAAGAAACCCGGAATTTAAAGTAATAGAAAAAAGATGTCCAAGTATCCTCAAGCTCTCGCTCCCCTTCGAATCACTCAAGCAAACAATTTCATTTTAATTGTGAACAAAACTCGGCTAAACGCTTAACAAATGAAAGCTGAGTGCAACTTTGTATATTTGTTAAATTATATATACTATGAACAGGGAGAGGGAAAGAGAGAGAGAACGTATTGAAATGATACGAGTTTATTGCAAACCGGATTCGCCGACAAAGGGGTGTACGGCCATGGAACCACCACCACCACCACCATCATCAACAGCAGCATCACCATGGGATGACTGTCTGGCTTATGAGACTTCAGTTGCTTCCGTTGGCTTGGTTCAGCATTTATTGACATTAATTGGTTGTGACATTTGCATTTGACGGATTGTTGTAGTTGCCATTGTTGCTACTTTACTTTACTAGCTCGCACTGTGCACTTCTGAGGGTTTGTTTAGCTAACGGGCCAACTTGACGGTTAGGTTAGGGTAAGGAAAGGGTACCATCATCATCCAATAAAAAAAGAAAAACACTCTTTGTATGGCATATTGGCTTAACAAATATGACTTCATTATAGCTCAAGCCGTTTCTGATACTACGCTTATGAATAAATTATAAATGAGCTTTGCACCACCAAACGATTTGGGGTTTTGAGTGCGTGTTTCTCAGTCATCAGACCTCAGGCAACAAATTAAACAGTGTGTGTCTGTATGTGTGTGTGCGGTCTGCTTGTTTGATAAGTCATATTGCACGAAATAGGTATGTATTTTTCAAATATGAAGGACTTTACGAAGGACTTTTTCTATGGGCATAGCGTCAACACTAACAGCTATAGAAAAGAATATTTCAAAGTACTCCACCGCCAGTTGAATATTGAATGCATTCAAGCAGAGAACTATGGACAACAATGCCAACTTCTTGAGTTATTCATGAATGAAAGTCAGTGCAGCAACAAAGGTCGCAAACAATGCATTAACAATTGTACTTGCTACATCGCTGCGAGCACTTGCAGTGATCTGCAGTTGTCTTTGTGTAAACCATTTTTGGCCTCACCATTTATACACCCTAATGTCCATTGTTTGTCCCGTTCAGGTAACAGCGTACACTCGAGAATGCCACCTTTTATAGTGGGCAGATAGGTTAGTTGATAGTTTCTTCTTTTTTTTAGCGACCATTGGCCATCATGGTCAAGGCCAAACTGCCGGACAAACTACCCATTAATCACGACTGTTTTGTTGTGGCCAAATGTTGTGGCTTTTTGAAGAAGGCAAAGAGGGTGTATAGTTGTAAACAATTAATTCAGTTGGGTGGTAGCCAAACTCTTATAACGCACATACAATCAGCCCTTGACAATTACGCTACTTAGCCACTAATCAAATTATATGTATACAAATAAACATTACGAACAAACACACGATCCACTTATCATCCCTCACCGCCACTTACGCTTGTCAACAGCCAGCCAGTTAATGAAAATAATATTTAAAATCAAAAACTGTATCCTCATCCTGAACCCTGCACAGAATATGGAAACAGGCTCGCGTTCTCTGACAGTCACAGGATTGTGCGCAGAAGTTGCCGCTGCCTCTGGATGTGGCACGGGGTAAAGATCCCGCTCAAACATTAGGCCGATATCGAAATCAACCCCAAGTGAGTCGAATGATTAATAAAATATACGGCTGTCTTATAAATATAAAATTAACAGGCAGGCAAACACACCCTTTTGGATCTTTTATGGTAAAATCAGACGCCATTCATTTTCAGATGTTACATTTGTATCATTGTCGAACTATGTGGTTCCTGATGGTATATATGATTATGGAATTGATAAACATTGCTGCTTAAAAACCAATTTACTAAGAGGGAACAGGGCTTCACAATTGAAATCTGCAAAATTTGGAGTATCTGTAGAATTTAATCGGAAGAGTGACTGGCAAATATTATTGGTTTTGTTATTGCAAAAATTAAACACAAATATAGTCCTAAGGAACAAATACAATTCATTAAAATCTTTTCATTCCAAGTATATTTCCACAACAAAAAACATGAGTATATTTTTCTCGTAAATCACATCTTGGAAATATTTGTTTATTCACTTTTTTCATATCAGAGAATAACAAATCCTTCTCAACTTTGATATAATTAAGAACATTTTATAGAAAATACCAGATTAGTCAAAAAATATAAATGACTCTAAATTACGCTCTTGTAAATGTTATTTCAAAAAACTGTTTAATCAGAAAAGATGCTGTTGCTACTCAGCCAATGACTCTCAAACTGTACAGAAATTTCCCTGCGTTAGCCAAGGCTCGAACCCACTAACTCAAGCTGTACGCATTATTAATTAAGAGACAGTAAAAGTATGCTGGTAAACGTTTCTTATATAAGTATAAATATATGTTGGGCAAGTTGTCAATGGCAGGAACCACTTTCTGACTATCAATGTCAACGTTTCTTATATAAGTTGTCATATTAAGAAATGCTTACCTTCATCTTCAGTTTGCGCATAATGCGTGTCTCCTCCCAGCGATCCAGCTCATCCCATTCCTTACGTAAGCATATTAACGTTTATAACAACTTTAATCAATAAATGCGAATTAGAGCAATGAATTATATACTCACCTTACCGCGCTTACGCAGTAGGTAATAGCGGTACATCACGATAGTTACAGCCAGAATCAGTGCTAGCCCGGTCCCTGCTGCGGCACCCAACACCGCTGAACTTACCATAACCATTTCGATATCCTTTCTTCTATGTATGCTCTGAATCTGATGCTTAAGTTCTGATCGTATTTTTGTTCTATGTTTTAAGGAATAAGAAAAGAGTATTTGTACTTCATTTACATATGTTGGAAAAAAAATATCGATAAGTTCTTCAATTCTTCTTGAATTTTGGAGTAGAGAAATTTTCCCACTGTTCTTTCAAAAAGTACAGTACACATGTCTAGAAGATAGATCATGGTTATATTTTTCACATTTATGGTCACATGAAAGGTTATTTGCCTTCGCCACAACTGTGCAAACTTGTGTTTCTATCGTGGCGTGTGTTGTTTTTATTTATTTTGTAAATAGAATAGAATAGACACGTCAGTATTTCACAATACTGAAATATATTATATGCGGAATTTTCATATTTCACAATACTGAAATATATTATATGCGGAATGATACATTGATACGAGCAAAACAAGGATTCGCCTTCAATCGGTATGTCGTCTCTTCGAAATTATCCCTTAAAATGTAATCATCCTCATTATCATTGTCATCGTCTTTCGCAATTACGGGATATTTTAGGAAGTTTTTTATTAACGGATCTACGATATTATCATCGTCAGAAATTGCATCATCAACTTCATCGTCGTCAT